GCAGCAGCTACAGTTAACCTCGAAGCAGTGAAGCTGAGGCTACCGGAGGCGTTCGATCCTACTGTAAAAAGGAACGACGTTCGTCGATTTGTAGCTGAACTCGAAATTTACTTCGAAGCCGTTAGATGCACGACCCCGACAAAAGACGCAATGCGCATACGGCTCGCAGCAACACTGTTACGAGGCCCAGCTCTAGAGTGGATCAACAACAGAATAGTCCAAGGCGAGGGGACGTGGGCGCAGGTTCCGGCAGCACTGATCGAACAGTTCGACACGTTGAACAGTAGCTACTACGGAACACGACGCAACAAGCCAACTAGTGGCATGGGGCGATTAGCACCACACACGACTGCCGATCCGATGGAGAACGACGAGGGCGATGTGGAGCAGCGGCTAGCAAATAATGAGACGTGCAAATTTTGCGGCGCTACAGGACATCGTATCTTGGCGTGTTGGAAAATGGAGAGAAGGTGTGCGGAGCTGAAGGACAAGAACAGTGCGGCACCCCCGAAGCAGAAAACGGACAACGTGGCAACTTCGGAGAGGGCGAAAAAAAAGAGAATATGGTGGCGCAAATTTAAAACGTCACGACCAGCCGGCACCAGGGGAAATCGCCGAGACTAATGGAGGATCCGCGAAACAAGACCCTGCACCGACCGGGAAACTCCACCCGTATACCCCGACAAGTAAGAATATTACTTCTCGTGGGTTTCAAGCCTTTATTAAGGGAGAGTCAGAAATTAAACCGGTACCGGGTATTATGGGGACCCTACTCCCGAACGCTAATACGGGTCGAGCGTTCCGAGGAGTTAATATTCTCTCCCAGCAGCACTGTTTAAAGGCTCCCTATTCCCCACAGATGAAGCCTACACAGCTGCAAAGGCTTAGTGGAAGGTTCCAAGCCCAAGAGAAGCCGAATCGGCCTCGGATAAATCCTTCTAACCTTTCTCAGTTGAAAACTGATACTGAAGCTGCATCTTTGAGTGCAGGACCTAGGGATAACATATTCGACGTACCCTACGATCCTATAAGCGATACCATCTACGGATACTCGGAGCAGCAGCAACCACTAGTACTCGAGGTGATCTGCAACTGGCGTCGCCTCCAGACCCTGGTGGACAGTGGTGCGTCCCACTCGGTGTGCGACCGCGGGACGTTGGAGAAAATTGGAGAATCCTAAGAAGAAACCCAGTTTACAGCAACGATGGTGGACGGTACGAAGCTTCCCATCCACGGAAAGTCAACACTGCAGCTGCAGATAGGGGCGTTGAGGTGGAAGCCGACGTTGCCGATCACGAACATCAAGGGATTAGATTTTATCTTGGGGCGAGATTTCCTGAAGCAGTTCAACCCCGAGATCGATTGGGTCAACAGCAAGGTGTGCATCTACAACAACGGGAAACGAGTGGAGCTGCGAAGCTGGACGGATACAGGGGACGTACCTGAAACAACACTGGCACAGTTCGAACAGACGGTGAACGAGAGTAACACGGGTTACTTAGCACTGGTTATAGCAGCAGCAGAGGAGGAGGTCTTGGAGCGGTACAAGGATATAATGTCCGACGACCTACACACAGGCGTATCTCCAGCACGCACCCACGAGCACGAGATCGTGGAGGAACCAGGTGCGAAACCCGTCTCACGTGCACCATACCGACTGAGTCCAACTGAACTGACAGACATGAAAAACAGATAGAGTATCTACTAGACAGACAACTGATCCGCCCATCCACCTCTCCCTACAGTGCACCAGTTCTCTTCACTCCAAAGCCAGACGATAGTTTACGGATGTGCATCGACTACCGCGCACTGAACAAACAGACAGCACTGACTACAGCGCCAATACTCATCTTACCGGATCCAGACAAGGACTACGTGGTGGAAGCAGACGCTAGTGACCAAGCAGTCGGAGCAGTACTAATGCAGCATCACGAACGCAGTTTGCAGCCCATCGCCTACCTCAGTAAGAAGCTATTACAGTGGAAGAATGACTTAGCTGTAAGGAAGGGTTCAGGAAAGATTTGGGTACCGAATTACGCCCCGCTACGGCAGATCCTATTGGAGGAGTTTCACGACGTACCTTACGCGGGACATTTCGGGAGCAACAAGACGTTAGCAGGGATAGCGAAGTATTACTACTGGTCCGAGATGGCAGCAGACGTGCAGCAGTTCGTCACCTCTTGTGACACGTGCCAACGGATGAAGAGTAACAAGCAGAAAAAAGCAGGGTTACTTCAGCCTCTACCCGTACCGGAGCAGCCATGGCAGGTCATTAGCCTCGACTTCATCACAGGACTTCCTTCGACCTCACGGGGACATGATTCCATCCTCGTGGTGATCGATAAGTTCTCCAAAATGGGTCAATTCATACCGACCAACGCCACAGCTACAGCTGAAGCAACTGCTCGACTCTTCTTCGACCGCATCATCACCATCCACGGCATCCCCGCTACACTCATCTCAGACAGAGACCCCAAATTCACGAGTAAGTTCTGGAAGGAGCTCATGGGACTGTTGGGGACAAAGCTTGCAATGTCTTCAGCATACCACCCCCAGACTGACGGACAGACAGAGCGACTCAATCAAGTGGTTGAACAGTTACTGCGCACAGCTTGCAAGGGCGACGTCAGCCACTGGGACACACAGTTACCGACCCTAGAGTCCGCTTACAACAACGCATCACATGCGGCCACAGGGAAAACTCCTTTCTTCCTGTGTTACGGACAGGAACCACTCACACCATAGCAGCCAACTACACCGGCACACGTCCAAGCCGCACATGACTTCGTCACCACCATGCAGCAGCTATGGGAGAAGACTCAGCGACGTCTCACCACGATGCAGACCTCCCAGAAGCAGTATGCCGATCGTCAGCGACGTGATCACTCAGTAGCAGTCGGAGATCAGGTGCTTCTTGACACGCGCAACTTGAACCTGTCTCACCTCCCATCCAAACTCCGGCCTCGCTTCTGTGGTCCTTTTCTCGTTGAGGCACAGGTGACACCAGTTACATTCCGCTTGCTCTTACCAGATACATGGAAGCTTCACAACGATTTCCATGTCCAGCTACTGAAGCCCTACAAGGACCCCAACCAACAGTTCCAGGGACGGCAACTACCGCCACCACCACCTGTTCTCATACAGGATGAACCCGAGTACGAGATCGAGCGCGTTCTCACCCATCGGCGCCGCGGTGGCAAGACCCTCGAGTTCCTGATACGCTAGAAGGGATACGACCCCACTGAGGACAGTTGGGTTGCAGAAGCTGATATGGGCAACGCACGCCGTGCTCTCAAGGACTATCTTGTCAAGCAGGGTGTATCTCACGCCACCCAGCTTTGAGGGGGGGACGTGTGAGAGTACGACGGCTTATGCCAGCTATGCTTGCTTGCCTCTACTTTATCATGCTATTTCTAGCATAGGATAATCAAATGCATGCATGAATTGCTTGATTTCCTAGGCTAGGTGGTTTCCTATATTTTATTATAGTTATAGCACCGAGCTAGGTTGCGTGCACCGAATTCTGGCTTTTCGGTTGCCACCGAATTGCCTTCTACCGAATTCGGTAAGGATCTGTTCGGGACGCTTCGCGACCCGCGGAACCTTCGCGTAACACCTGGTTACGGGGCCTTGTGTCGAGCCTATATATAGCCTCGTGTTGTACCCAGGTGATCATTCAATTCAATTTGAATCATCTTTTCTGAGCTCGATCCCAGATCCTCACACCGCAAGTCAACTTGCTACCTATCTCAAAAGGCCCGAAACAGAACACCTGGCGGAACTCGACCGCGCTCTCCACTACTTCGTGAGCACCTCGACGATCGGCCTGACATACTACAAGAGTAAAACTACACCGACGAAACTAATCGGCTACGTCGATGCCGATCACGCCGGCGATTCAGACAACAGACGCTCCCGCACTGGCTACATCTACCGCCTCGAACCTATCGGACCTATCTCCTGGCAATCGAGCAAGCAGGAACTAATCGCTCTCTCCTCAGCTGAACAGAATATATCGCACTCTGCTCAGCCACCAAGGAAGGACTCTATCTTCGCGAGCTGCTGGAAGAAGCGAAGTTAGCCGAGTTACCCAACTTCACTCTGTTCTGCGACAACCAATCTGCGATTCGCATCGCCGACAAGAGCGGATTCGCGAACAGAACGAAGCATATCGCCCTGCGATATTTCTTCGTGAAAGACGAGATCGAGAAAGGGAAACTCAAACTATCCTACTGTCCCACGTCTGAGATGGCAGCTGACTACTTGACCAAGAAGCTCGGAAAACAGAAGTTCGAGTACTGCATGCTGCTGACTGGACAAAGCCACGTCACCATCAGCGACACTCCAGAAGCGAAGGGGAGTGTTGGGAACAAATAGTCTTAAGCGCCTCTGTCGTGTCGAAACTCAAGACACAAGCGAAGCAGCTCAAATCGAAGCACCGCGAGTCAACCCTCGGAGGTTAACGTAACCGCTGGAGGTTACGAGAAAGTCAAAGGTCAGCGACCTTTGACCTGACGCAGCGCGACAGCAAGGACACACAACTGACTCGACATTGAGCAGTTGCCCGAGTCGCACTGTATCGAACCGCAACAGTAAAACAGTTACAATTATGTCTTTTCATATTCTCTGTACTCATATATATATTCCTGGATCTCTTTGCTTTAATTAACTTACTTTGCCCTCACATACTAGCGCAAGGTGGTTCAAGGACTTTATTCAAACGCTTCCGCTACTACATCATTTACTCAGATTTTAACTCTACTAAAGATCCTAGGGCGTTCAGCCCAACACTGTTATGGTAGCCTCTGTTAGTTTTCTTTGTAACCCGTTTCACCGTAGACCGGCATACAAATCAGGCGACAACATGTAAACGTTTAGACCCACATATATTTTCTTTGAGATGTAATACACATGACATAAGCTTGCATTATCAGTATAAAGGACCAAGCTCGAACCATTGCTATAGTCTTGTGTGTTTCCATCTTCCTGTCCCTTTTGCAATGTGGCTCGTCTGGGCCTTTGACATGCTGAAAACAGGAGCAAGCGAAGGCAGCACGTCCATGCAGGTCGTCTGGGCCTCTGTCATGCTCGCCTGGGATGGGAGAGGAGAGGATGGGGAGAGGAGAGGATGGGAGAGGAGAGGATGGGAGAGGAGAGGAGGGGGAGAGGAGAGGATGGAAGAGGAGAGGATGGGGAGAGGAGAGGATGGGGAGAGGAGAGGATGGGGAGAGGAGAGGATGGGGAGAGGAGAGGATGGGGAGAGGAGAGGATGGGGAGAGGAGAGGATGGGGAGAGGAGAGGATGGGGAGAGGAGAGGATGGGGAGAGGAGAGGATGGGAGAGGAGAGGATGGGGAGAGGAGACGATGGGGTGAGGAGAGGATGGGGAGAGGAGAGGATGGGGAGAGGAGAGGATGGGGAGAGGAGAGGATGGGGAGAGGAGAGGATGGGGAGAGGAGAGGATGGGGAGAGGAGAGGATGGGTGTGCGTCAAGCAGAGCACAGCACAGCACCGCAGAGCCCCAGAGCAGCGCAGAGCACCGCATCTCGCGTAGCTGTGCACAGCAGAGCAGAGCACCACACTGCACAGCACTGCAGAGCAGAACAGAGCTCACAACCGCACAGCAGAGCATGTTGTGTTGTGGGTCACCTGTAGCACGAGCACAGCAGCAGCTGTAGCACGCGCTTCCGGTTGTCCCTGCAGAAGATGGTGAAGGGGCGGGAAGGGGGTAAACAGGGGAGAGGGGGCTGGGGGAAAATAGGATCGAGGCTATAGAGGGAAATAAGGGAGAGGGCGATCGGGAAGGGAAACAGGGGGATCTTGTTGAGACGGAATGGAGTGAGGCGGAAAGGGGTGGGGAGGAGATGGGGTGGGGCAGACTGGGTTGGGGCGGAATGGGGTGGGGCGGAATGGGGTGGGGCGGAATGGGGTGGGGCGGAAAGGGGTGGGGCGGAAAGGGGTTTGGGCGGAAAGGGGTGGGGCAGAAATGGTGCCTCCCACGGTGTCGCGGCGCCCCCGACTCAGCACGACGACTCGCCCCCACTCCTCCACCTCGCGTCCACCCCATCCCTGAGGGCAAGGGATGGGATGGGGTTGACGGGGGAGAGGCGGGGATGGTGACGCGGGGAGGGGCACACAGGGCGGGTTTCCGCATCATTTACAGCAACAGCAGCAAGGATGGGGAGGTGAGGGATGGGGAGGAGAGGCATGGGGAGGTGAGGGACGGGGAGATGCGGCATGGGGATGTGAGGGATGGGGATGTGAGGGATGGGGATGTGAGGGATGGGGATGTGAGGGATGGGGAGGTGAGGGATGCGGAGGTGAGGGATGGCTCTGCACCTGGAAATAAACCGTTGCCCTGTCGTACGCTGCATGCGCTGACTCTAACTCCAGCCTGAAGGGAGAAAGGGTGGAGATGAGAAGGGAGAAAGGGTGGAGATGAGAAGGGAGAAAGGGTGGAGATGAGAAGGGAGAAAGGGTGGAGATGAGAAGGGAGAAAGGGTGGAGATGAGAAGGGAGAAAGGGTGGAGATGAGAAGGGAGAAAGGGTGGAGATGAGAAGGGAGAAAGGGTGGAGATGAGAAGGGAGAAAGGGGACGGGAGAGAGTGAGCGAAGGCGACGGGAGGGGGGTGAGCGTGGGCGACAAAAGGGAGTGAGAGCGTGCGACGTACGGGCAGTGAGCGTGGGCGACGGATGGGGAGAGAGCGTGCGCGACGGGGAGGAGTGAGCGTGGGACGAAGGGAATTGGCCGTGTGCGACGAGCGGGGGTGAGCGTGTGCGACCGAAGGATTGCGCGAAGGCGATGGGAAGGGTGTGAGCGTGGGCGACGGGAAGGGAGTGAGCGCGGGCGACGGGAGTGAGCGCAGGCGACGGAAGTGAGTGAGAGTGGGCGACGGAACGATTGCGCGAAGGCGATGGGAAGCGAGTGAGCGTGGGCGACGGGAAGGTCTTGGGCGGGGGCGGCGGAAGGGAGTGCGCGCGGCGGGCACGGAGTGCGCGTGGGCGACGGAAGGAATTTGTAATCCGCAACCCTGGGAAGCGAGCGTGCGCAACAATGGGGATTGCGCAAAGGAGACGGGAGGGGAGGGAGCGTGCTCGTTGGAGCGAGGATGCGTGAGCGATGGAGGGGAGTGCGTGTGTGGGACGGAAGGGGATCGGGGAGAAGAAGCGAATGGGACGAAGTAATAGAATAAAATCTTTGAAACGCGGACAGAGAGGACGCTGCGGCTATGAACAGGGGCGACATCGATGCGGTGGGCGATGGTGAGGTGCAACCAGGGCGACGAGCCTATGTGCATCCATGGGCACGGCTAGCTATGTCGATCGAGTAAAAACGTGCCCTAGAATAGCGAAAAGTTTATCCCTGGCATTTACGGAATGGAGTAATAGTCCTAAAGAGTAAGGCGGAAATAAGAGACCTGGGGCTGGAATGGGGCTGGAGCCTAGCTGTTCTAAGCTATGGCTGCGGCTCTAGCTGATCAGACTAGGCAGTTTCTGTCGACCTGAAATACATATTTCGAGTTTGGTGTGCACACCTCGGCCAGAGAGGTTGCGCAGGAAACGAGCGACACCTCCCTGAGCTGCCTGCGACTTCATCACGTTTTGCAGGTGGACAACTGGTAACCACCCTGGTTCGGGAGGGAAGGTGTTAACACCTCCCAACTTTTTTGGGTAAGTAGCTTTCGCGGGGGTACCACTAGGGACCCCGCGCTTTGTAGGGAGCTACAGTGCCAGCGGGGGGCACTTTCCGCCCCTCCGTGCCTCAGACAGAGGAATTATAGAAACAACACAGAACTCTTCCCCACATTCACCCACGTGGCACAAGTTTCCATGCCAACTACTGCACTGAGCAACTTGTCAACTGTGCACAGTTGACTTTTGTCCCTTCTGCCAAATCGAATCCTCACTCTGGGTGGCTCGGCTGCCACTGTTCCGAAATCTGTTGAGCTAGTTTGTCGCGCCCTAGATTTCGAAACACAGGCCCAGCTCGCCAGACGGAAACGGAGAACTCTAGCATTCCGTCTGGTCTACCGTGTGACTGTTTCCGTCAGTGGTTTCAGACACACATTACAGAAACGCGATTTTGCACATGGGCGTTAAAAAAAAACAAGTCTCAGATTAGATAGATGGTTGATTCGTAGATGAATATGAATATCGCGGGAAATGAGGGTATTGAGTTTGGTAGTGCGTCTTCGATATCCTTAATGCATTACCGTAATAAAGCATACGGTAGTACTTACCTGATTTTAAAATCGTCATTTTATCAAGCAACTTGATATGCTTACTACAACACGAGACTCTACGAAACGACGAACGAGACACTGAAGAGGGACCATAAGCACGTTTCTTTTTAGTATATTTACAACTTCATATGCATTTATTATGGCCAATAAGACAACCATAGCTCCTGACTTAGCAAATTTGATCGAATCACCATATCCGTACGTCGTATGCATAGACGCGTGTTTACCTATGTTAACACTTGCGATTGATCTCAAAACCCCGCCTCCTCTGGAGGCATATAGAGAAGGGGCATTGGTTTTAACAACGGAATCTTAAAGAAATCACAAAGGGCACTATTCAGCTGAGAGTAGTATTAATGGTTATCCTTGAACACGTTTCTTTCGTACTACGCACGAACACTTGACTATTTATGCAAATCAATTGCCATTGCATAACAAAAAACCGTATAGCCTCACCTATATACATAGTAGGGGCTATTGGTATAACAAGGGCACTAAGCAGTTGAAAGTGTTATGAATCGCTATCCTTATACAGGTTTGACCCCTTATGCGCACTGTCAGTTGACTACCTATCCAAATCTATTGCGAATCATGTCCAATCCGAACCGTCTCACCTAGACACATAGTAGGGGCTATTAGTATTAATGAATGGGAGCTATTAATCTTAGAGGGCCCTAAACTGCAGAGGTGATGTGAATGGCCATCCTTGAACAGTCTTGAACCGTCATGCACACTAAGGCTTGATTACATATGCAAATCAATTGCGAGTCATCTCAAAACTGGACAACCTCACCTAGGAACATAGTAGGACCGATTAGTACAAAAACCGGTTGTATAGAATTAAAAAGAAGGCTCGATACAGCTCAGTGTGGTATGCATGGCTAACCATGAACAGATTGGACACGTCCTGCGCACAAGCGATTGATTATATATGCAAATCAATTGCGATCAGGCCCTCAGATTGGTTTGAGGGTATGCTGATGGATCAGCGTGCCCCTGCCAACCAGCTGTCCAAATCAGCGTTGGTGGTTTTCAATATACTGATTCTGTCAGTGTAAAAATTTTCACTGTACTGATCCTTTAGTGTAAGAAAGTCCAAAATAAATATACCTAAGTACTAACTAGCTAACTAGCTCATGTCATCATCTGAAGAAGAAACGCTCGCATCATCACCACTGCTACTGCTGCCATCATCATCACTCTCACTGTCAGCGCCTGCAGAACCCTTCATGCCCTCATCTAGTTCCTCCTCCACCTGCACCAGCCGGCGGCCACTCCCCTTAACAAACTTGGCCTTGGCCCGCTTCTTCTCTGGCGCAGCTTGCTCCTTGCGCTTGGTGGGACGCCTTTTCCCGGTGCTCCGCCAGATGTCCACCACCTTATCCCTGTCCATGTCGTAGTCGAGCAGCGATATTGCCATCAAATCTCCCAGCTTGGCGTTGCAGAGACTCGTCCGGCGCCATGACTTTATCACATTCTGCCGGGAAAACCCGCGCTCGCACTCGACTGTGCTGCGCGGCAGAACAGCGACGGCAGCCCACAGACGGACTAAGTTGGGGTAGCTGGTCTGCAAGATGGCCTTCAAACCTGCGTGAAAGGGCTGCTCTTCCTTGGGCGCAGTGGAGAGCACCGGCAGGAACGTGCGCAGCTCCGCTCGAGCTGCACGCTTCTGGACACCTGCCAAACAGGAGAGCACAACCGGGTAGAAAGTCAAGCTCTCAACATGGGAATAACGCAACCACGGAAACGGCAACGCATATACGCAGAGCATTGGGGTTCTCTTTCTAGCTCACCTGGCAAGATCGTGTCCCGGTTCTTGGCCTAGAACAGATGGACGAGGCCGTGCAGGTGCTCCTTGCACTTGGCGTCTCTAGCCTCGACGCCCCTCGGCCACGAGCGGGGCATGAAGAGCTTCACCCCGTTCAAGCGCGTCAGGTCTCCCAAGCGCAGCTCGAGGCTGTACACCAGCTCGCGGGCGAAGGAGCGGCAGCAGGTGTAGCAGCCTTGCATGTCCCCGCTGCTGGTGGTGTATCCCTTCACGGCCTCCTCGTGCAGCTGGAACTTGTGTACCCGGGCCTCACCATCCTTGTCCACCCCCTCCACAGTCATTTCACGGCAGTCGGGGGAGGCGTGCCGCGCGAGAGGATAGGGGGAGAATAGGTACACCGAAACAAAAGATAAGTAACTGGGAGAAGAAGACAAAAGCACTATGTAACTCAACACCTCACCTGACGCTTCTGGAATAGCAGGTTGAGCGCGTTGAGTGCCGTGTGCACATCTGCCAAGAAGAACAGGAAGAAATGAAACTTGAACGACGTCACCAACTGGTACATAGTCTTGTCCGTCTCCTCGAGCATAACGATGCCCGCTGGGAAAACGCGGACGAATCGGGCGATAGCATCGCCCCGACTCAGCCAGCGGACGGAGTGGATCCTTTGGACCTCGAGGTTGGTGTGCGTGAAAACCTCGTGCAGCTCCTTGAACTTGCGGTTGTGGTTGCTGGATCTGCCGAGATCTTCCGCCAATGCGCGGATGACCGCGTCGATGATGCCAAGCTCGGGCAGTGCCTTAGCCGCCTCCTTTGCCTTCTCCTTCCCCTTCTACTTCCCATTCTCCCTCCCCTTCTCATTCCCCTTCTCCTTCCCCTTATCCTTCGCCTTGTCATTCCCCTTCTCCTTCCCATTCTCTTTCCCCTTCTCCTTCGCCTTCTCCTTCCCCTTATCCTTCCCCTTCTCCTTCCCCTTTTCCTTCCCATTCTCCTTCCCCTTATCCTTATCCTTCGCCTTCTCCTTCCCTTTCTACTTCCCATTCTCCTTCCCGTTCCCCTTCCCCTTCCCTTTCCCTTTCTCCTTCCCCTTCTCTTTCTCCTTCGCCTTGTCCATCGCCTTCCCCTTTCCCTTTCTCCTTTGCCTTCCCCTTCCCCTTCTCCTTTGCCTTCCCCTTCCCCTTCTCCTTTGCCTTCTCCTTCGCATTGTCCTTCGCCAGGCTCTTCTGCTTCCCCTTCCCTTTCCCTTTCTCCTTCCCCTTCTCATTCTTCTTCTCCTTCCCCTTAGCTTTCGCCTTCTCATTCCCCTTCTCCTTCCCATTCTCCTTCCCCTTATCCTTTGCCTTCTCCTTCCCCTTCTACTTCCCATTCTCCCTCCCCTTCTCATTCCCCTTCTCCTTCCCCTTATCCTTCGCCTTGTCATTCCCCTTCTCCTTCCCATTCTCTTTCCCCTTCTCCTTCGCCTTCTCCTTCCCCTTATCCTTCCCCTTCTCCTTCCCCTTTTCCTTCCCATTCTCCTTCCCCTTATCCTTATCCTTCGCCTTCTCCTTCCCTTTCTACTTCCCATTCTCCTTCCCGTTCCCCTTCCCCATCCCTTTCCCTTTCTCCTTCCCCTTCTCTTTCTCCTTCGCCTTTTCCATCGTCTTCCCCTTTCCCTTCTCCTTTGCCTTCCCCTTCCCCTTCTCCTTTGCCTTCCCCTTCCCCTTCCCCTTCCCCTTCTCCTTTGCCTTCTCCTTCCCAATATCCTTCCCCTTCTCCTTCGCCATCTCCTTCCCCTTCTACTCCTATTTTCTCCTTCCCCTTCCCCTTCCCCTTCCCTTTCTCCATCCCCTTCTCCTTCCCCTTCTCCTTCCCCTTCTCCTTCTTCTTATCCTCCCCATAAGAGACTACAGAAATTTCGAAGGTGTGATCCCTCTGTTGAATAACGAATGCGTAATTGTGGGTAAGGATAGAATGGTGTGCATGCTATTAGGTGGTGTTGTGTGACATATTTATGATGTGAAACAACAATGCTTCAGTTTCAGAACTTAGTGCTTTTCAGAGTTGCACATTATAGTGATTGCATGCATCCATCAACAAATACCAGTACATATTCCTGGAAAAAAAAGTGACCACAATGTTTCCATGGTTGTATAGTTAAAAAAAAAATCACGACACTCCTTCATCATAGCAGTTAGTGGGAGCAGGGAGTTGTGTCAGGTACGGTACCAGAAGCATGGAGCGAGAGCCAGGAATGGTTGCAGGGAGTGGGAGATGGTTGACAAAGGCCTTGTTTCATACGTTGTGATATGTCAACAATGATACAAGGCCATATTCTAGTTTCACAAGGTTCACCATTGTTGTTGCAGCGAAGAGGATTGCAGCCACCACCCGGCCTCTTGCTGTTGCAATTGCCGATGCATTCGTTGCACTGTCTTCTGCTGCTCCTGTCATTGCTGCTGCAATCTTTTCTGTTGTTTTTGACTCTGTTACAGATGCTCGTGTCGCTCTTGCTGCTGCTGCTGAGATTGAGGCCACTCTTGGTGGTTTTGATTTTGGATTTGTTGTCGCAGCATCTGCTGCCCCTGCTGCTGCTGCTGCTGCTGCTGCTGCTGCTGCTGCTGCTGCTGCTGCTGCTGCTGCTGCTGTCCCTGCCGCTCCTGCTGTCCCTGCTGCTGCTGTTGTCCCTGCCGCTCCTGCTGTCCCTGCTGCTGCTGCTGTCCCTGCCGCTCCTGCTGTCCCTGCTGCCGCTGCTGTCCCTGCCGCTCCTGCTGTCCCTGCTGCCGCTGCTGTCCCTGCCGCTCCTGTTGTCCCTGCTGCTGCGGCTGCTGCTGCTGCTGCTGCTGGTGCTGTCCCTGCTGAGTCACGCCCTGCAGCTGTTTCCGTCTTTGATGTCGTTGCTGCATCTGCAACCTCCTCAACAGGCGGCGTCGCTTCTGCCCCAACTTCACATGCTGTTGTTCATCCTGCATTTCCCCACTTTGGTCCGCTTGATTATCCACAACGATTGATTGCTGTGTCTCAGGGACTGGGGTCTGGTCTGTATGGCCCGTTGCCTCTGAGTCCGCCTCCTCCACCACAGCCGCTGGCGTTTGATCCATATTTCTCGGTTCGGGTGCCACTTGTCTTTGCTGACGAACGTGTTGCATCCGCCTCAGTCTAAAACGAACCACGTTGTCACCATTGTTTTGCGAGGCGTCACCAGGTGTGGGGTTGTTGTGGTCAATTCCCATCTCACCCGCCACTCCACCACTCCATCCTGCACCTCCCTTCCCCGCCCCACTCACTGCTGCTCCTACCCTCCCATCCCCGCTTTCTGCTCCTCCCCTCCCCGCCCCACTTGCTGCTGCTCCTCCCCTTCCGGCCCCGCTCTCTGCTCCTCCCCTCCCCGCCCCGCTCTCTGCTCCTCCCCTCCCTGCCCCGATCCCTGCTGATCCTCTCCTACCCACCCCGCTCCCTACTGCTCCTCCCCTCCCTACCCCACTTGTGGCTGCTCCTCTCCTACCCGCCCCGCTCCCTGCTGCTCCTCCCCTCCCTACCCCACTTGTGGCTGCTCCTCTCCTACCCACCCCGCTCCCTGCTGCTCCTCCCCTCCCTACCCCACTTGTGGCTGCTCCTCTCCTACCCGCCCCGCTCCCTGCTGCTCCTCCCCTCGCTACCCCACTCTCGACTGCTCCTCCCCTCCGCGCCCCGCTCCCTGCTGCTCCTCCCCTCCCTACCCCATTCTCGACTGCTCCTCCCCTCTCTGCCTCGCTCCCTGCTGCTCCTTCCCTCCCTGTCCCTGCTGATGCTCCTCCCCACCCTGCCCCGATCCCTGCTGCTCCTCTCCTACCTGCCCTACTCCCTGCTGCTCCTCCCCTCGCTACCCCACTCTCGATTGCTCCTCCCCTCCCCGCCTCGCTCCCTGCTGCTCCTCCCCTCCCTACCCCATTCTCGACTGCTCCTCCCCTCTCTGCCTCGCTCCCTGCTGCTCCTTCCCTCCCTGTCCCTGCTGATGCTCCTCCCAACCCTGCCCTGATCCCTGCTGCTCCTCTCCTACCCGCCCCACTCCCTGCTGCTCCTCCCCTCTCTACCCCACTCTCGACTGCTCCTCCCCTCCCCGCCTCGCTCCCTGCTGCTCCTCCCCTCCCTACCCCATTCTCGACTGCTCCTCCCCTCTCTGCCTCGCTCCCTGCTGCTCCTTCCCTCCCTGTCCCTGCTGATGCTCCTCCCAACCCTGCCCCGATCCCTGCTGCTCCTCTCCTACCCGCCCCACTCCCTGCTGCTCCTCCCCTCTCTACCCCACTCTCGACTGCTCCTCCCCTCCCCGCCTCGCTCCCTGCTGCTCCTCCCCTACCCGCCGCGTTCTCGGCTGCTCCTCCCCTCCCTGCCCCGCTCTCTTCTCCTCCCCTCTCTACCCCACTCTCGACTGCTCCTCCCTTCCCCGCCTCGCTCCCTGCTGCTCCTCCCCTACCCGCCGCGTTCTCGGCTGCTCCTCCCCTCCCTGCCCCGCTCTCTTCTCCTCCCCTCTCTACCCCACTCTCGATTGCTCCTCCCCTCCCCGCCTCGCTCCCTGCTGCTCCTCCCCTACCCGCCGCGTTCTCGGCTGCTCCTCCCCTCCCTGCCCCGCTCTCTTCTCCTCCCCTCCCCGCCCCGCTGTCGCCTGCTCCTCCCCGCTCGTCCAATCCTCCACTCTCGGATGCTCCTCCCATCTCCCCCAATCCTCCAATCTCTGCTGCTGTTGGAATTGATAATCCCACACCCCCCGAGCGCATGTTTCCGTTGTTTCCTGATTGATTAAGTCCGTTAAATGCCTCCCCAAATATTTCACGGAGTACTGATGGGACAGCCTGTTGGACACCAGCACCCGCATCCATTGGCTGCTCTTCTCTCTCCCCCTCCGACTCTGAACTGCCGTCCTCCTCCTCGTCTGATACTTCAACATCTCCATTCTCACCATCTGCCGCGTGAGTCTCGTTGCCGTCCATCACCCCCTCCCCATTCTGAGGTCGTTCATGTTCACGATGTTGCCTCCTAGGCTCGCACAGTACATCTCTGTGGTGACTTCTATTGCATGCACTGCACAGCGCCACATTCACTTGAGCCTCTGCTTGCGTAGCTGTTTGCACACTCATATGCCCTTCCGGAGTGTGAAGTGCCTCCCATGCGTCTCTCAATTGTTTGCGCAAATCACAAGTCAGTCTATTGTGCCCTTTCTCCCCACACTTCCCACATCTACGCAGATTCCTGCCATCAATCTCACCATGGGACCTCAACCGATTGTTGCGTGGCCTTCCAGAATTCTTTGGGTACACTGGTGGCTCAACTGTTTTGCCTGGTACTATCTCTGTGCGGTCGAGAGTGCGAATCTCCGTGCTGTAGAGCTCCTTCAAAGCGGTTGATGTGTAACACCTGTGGATCATGGGTTGAACCGCCTGTTGGACATCTGCAAACTCGTTGCCACGCGCCGGCCGGATGTTGTGGAGCAGTACTGCAAACATGTGCATACAAGGCAGCCCATACTCTCTGCAATTGTACGGGAAAATCAAATGAGTGTGAAACGAATGTCAGGATCCATCATATGACAAACATCAAGAGAAGGCCAGAGATCACAAAAAGGTAATGCATGTAATGACACCCCTAACACCAGGTGCATAACACCAGGTGACAAGTACTTCAAAAAACAGAATCAAAACACATAACTCACTTCGAATAATTACACGTGCACTGCGCCTTCTTCGGATCCGCTGCCTCCATCACCACCACACGCTCCTCCTTAGCTCCAATCTCACGGCTCACATGGTACGAACTTCTGCCAATCTTCTCAACCTTGTACTGAGTCCCCATTTGACAATTAGCACGAATGATAGCTGCTGTTTTGGGGGGGAGATCAGCTACCCCGAGAGTCCCATACAACCCACGACCCTCTTCCATTGCCTTCGCTTGCTGTGTTATGAATGCAAGCAACACTTGGGCTGGATTGTCCCTCCTCCACTTGTGCATAGAGGCATGATGCGACTCCACCGGGTTTGAAGTATAGCACCCAAAACGTGACGCATCAAACAGAAAGGTAGCCCAATGTGCGGCCAATCCATCCCTCTCCAAGTATTGCTTCCCCCCAGGGCACTCTTCCTCGATTTTGTCCATGTAGCCCTGCAACACATCTCTGGTCAATGCTGCAGCCGCGAGCTCGATCTTGCCATCACAGTCGGAACCAAACTTTGAATTGAGATTCCTCACCAAGTGTGTGATGCAAAATGCCTCACGCGCCCCTGGCAGCACTCTGGCCGCAGCTGCTTTCCATGCTTTACCGCGATCATGCATCAATGTAAACCTCGCAGTGTTCATCTCAGGGGCAGCTGCCTTCAGCTGGCTCAAAAAATACTCACACGAATTCGCACTCTCACCTTCTACCCACGCACTCCCTAACCTCACCAGCTTATGTTCGCAATCTATCATGCATGCATTCAGGGTGTGGCCACGCCATTTACCTTTGTTGTGACATCCATCTACAAATATGATCGGGAAGCAATTATTCACTATCTCACGGACTCCAGGGTAAATCACTGCAGCACGATAGAACCTCTTCTCATCCAGCATCAATGACACAACGCTTGATGGGATATTTCGCTTGAAAACATCTAAGATGCTACCAATGTATTGGAAACCCGACTCTCCACCTAGACGATCCTCTCGAGTGACATCATCTATTGACCGGCCACACGTAGCATTGCAGCAGTCGACGCCTAACTTTTCCCGCACCATATCTCGTAGTCCAATAGGTCTAAGGACTGTATGAGGATGTACTTCACGCACCAATTGCTTAACCTGTTCCCTCCTAATCCGACCAGGGCGTGGCACACACGTGTGTGCATGCTGCAGCGTCACAGTTTTCACACTAAAGCAGCAATTTCGTGGCCCGGTAGCTACAATCCGAAACGGACAAAAACCCTCAGATGCTTTGGCCTCATTCTTGGGCCAGTCTTTTCCTTTCATAGAAGGGCAACGCACGTCAAGGCGTTCTGGCCTATTGTCCCTATACCACGGCCTAAAGTTGAACCTATCGCCATATTTCTCTATCTCATCTCTAGCAGCGCTTACAGATGCATAGATTTTCCCTTGGTATATGCGGATCTCCTCCGTCTGTTGCCCAAGAAATGCCCTGTTTAAAGAACACATAATGGCAAAGGTAAAGGAATCAAATGTAAGTTGTTTTATGCAACCCAAACAAGGAACGTGCGGCAATACAAGGCATATCCCATACATTGCATCTGTAAATCAGTCAGATCACCTTGAAAGAGAACTTCTAAACATTGTGCACACATGGTTTCTGTCTACACGATAATTTGCGAGTGATGGAAGTCTGAAAACATAAGATAAGAGACACATGTAAGGCAGGAGAATAAAGGATAGACAAGAAAAGGGTGGATTATACTAAAAAATGTGGATGAAACACATCTGCGGGGTGAGTGAAGCTTAGCATTCTGTACAGACCACCGCAAGGAGTCCGTAGCATGGTTGATAAACGGCAAGAAAATGCGCGATCAATCATGCGGAAGGTAAGTCGCATGGCACAGTCAGATTATGTAAGTCACGTACGATGTTATGATAGGCTGGTCGAAATCAAGCAAACTTACCATCGACCGCAAGGATCGGAGAAGAGAAATAAAGGGTGCACATGTTTAACGAACCAGAACTCATATCCTGGGTTGCTAGCCAATTAAACATTATCCGGGACAAGGTGATGCTCCTACTAATGGATATGGTGTGGCCACAGATTCGAGAAAAACGCATGGCGCCTATGCTGATTAATAGATAGCTTGAGGCAACGTACGCAATAACTTAGAACGAAGTTTTACATCAGTCTGTGACTTGTCGGAAACCCTAATATGTGAAGTAGCATTAGACAAGTCCAACAGACGGAGGCAACGTAACGTACGTGAGATGAAGGGATTCAAACAACCTGACGGAATGCTAGTGTTCTCCGTTTCCGTCTGGCGAGCTGGGCCTGTGTTTCGAAATCTAGGGCGCGACAAACTAGCTCAACAGATTTCGGAACAGTGGCAGCCGAGCCACCCAGAGTGAGGATTCGATTTGGCAGAAGGGACAAAAGTCAACTGTGCACAGTTGACAAGTTGCTCAGTGCAGTAGTTGGCATGGAAACTTGTGCCATGTGGGTGAATGTGGGGAAGAGTTTTGTGTTGTTTCTATAATTCCTCTGTCTGAGGCACGGAGGGGCGGAAAGTGCCCCCCGCTGGCACTGTAGCTCCCTACAAAGCGCGGGGTCCCTAGTGGTACCCCCGCGAAAGCTACTTACCCAACTTTTTTTGTAATTCAGGCTGCGGGTTTTAAGGTAAACAGAGCAGATGGTGGTGGTGGGGTGAGGTGAGGAGGCGTTTTCAGTGAAGCGTGCTTGTTCAAATGCTGTCCGAACAGTATTGAGATGGGCAGTGCTCAATCACAACAAACTGGGGTGGGTGCAATTGAGATGGAAGTTGATTCGACGGGTAACCAGGGCGAGAGATGGGCTGCGCAACATGCAGCGAGGCTCCAATGCAAGCTCACATGCGAGCACCCCAGAACAGAAGCACTCCGCACAAGTGTGGAGACGGTATTAGGAGAGGCGAAAAGGCGATCTGGTTCACTGCCTACGTGTTCAACGATGATTGTTAGCTCAGCTCCAACGATACTCGTGACAAGCAAGACGATCACGAATTACTGCCCAGCTTTTCGTTTACGACAGCTGAAGAATCTGGGTTGTAGGCGAGTCTAACTCTATTTTGCGTAGTGGTTACATGCTTCAGCATTTCGCATAGCCTGTTCTCGTCATTTCGCCCCTTCACACAAGCTGAACCCAATGAACATAGATACTCGCATCAGTTTCAGCGTGGATAAGCAGATTCGTTATTTAGCATAATCTATAGACACAATCAGAGAACAAACCTTTCCACGATATAAACCCTTAATACAGAATACAGCAGATTCTGGTGAAATATATTGAAACAGTTAAATCGTGAGGTTGAAACCATATGGTTAGTATAGAAATAACTAAGCAGCTTAGTAAAAAAAAACTAGAAGACTCGCTCCGTCCCTGTCAGCTGTTGCAACTGAGCAGCTTTCAAGCAGTCCCTGAAAAACGCCTTCGCAGATCTTCTGAATCCCAAGCCTTTCCCACACAGCTGATCAGCAATGCTACCATGGCTGATGGCAAAGCTGCTACGCGAGCTTGAACACAGGGACGCACTGCTGCTGTGAAAAGAGTAAGCAGGAATGAATGAACTATGAATGAAAGCAGTACAAATATGAAACCCTAACTGGGTTGTACCCCCTATGGGATACCCCACTACAGCCTACACAGCAGTATAAGCTATAGATATGTTCTGACACACCCCCATAGGCAAAGTGGGGGAGAACAAGGGGTCACAAGACCAGTCAAGCAAGACAAAGCAAAGCTCAGGGTGGATCACAAAGTCACCACACAGTCCGAGCACAAGAGCAAGGCCAAAGGCCAGTTCACAAGCAAGAGTACAGACATATATATAAAGCTAGACAAGCAAGAGCAGGTATATATATATGTCACAGTACAAGTGAAGTCAAGAGGAGAGCAAGTGAGGCAAGACAGGCACAAGACCCAGCTGGGTGCAGAAGCGCTGATGGTCACAAGGCGCAAGTGCCTTGGTGAACACATCAGCAGTGTTGGCCTCAGAGGCCACGTACGCAAGTCGCAACTGACCACGCTGCTGCAGCTCACGAGCAAGGAAGTAGCGGAGAGCAATGTGCTTCGTTCTGTGCTCCAAGCGCTGCTCTCGACACAAGGCCAGCATGGCCTTGTTGTCTACGTACAGCACTGGAGGAGAACGAGGCGGCTCTCCAAGGTCAGTCAGCAGGTAGGTGAGCCAGCGAAGCTCCTGTGCAGCCATGGCTCCGGCGTAGATCTCAGCCTCACAACTGGAGCCGAGAACCGAAGACGAGCGAGTAGACCGCCACG